GTGCTCAAGAGGCTCTCTGGACAGCCCCTGGCCCGCCGCTCCCCGCGGCCTGGGAAGAGTTCCGCGTCCGAAGGAGGGACCGGGTAGGGCCAGGGGCGGAAAGGAGCCATGCAGGAGAAGAACAGGGACGGGGCGAAAGGAAACCCCTGCCTCTTCTTCAGCGGCGGTGTGGTGTGGCTCTGCGCGGCCGCGCGGCCCCAGCGTCTTTGAAGCAGCAGGGGAGGCCTTCGGATTTGCGCCTGTGCGGGTCATACTGAGTGGGTGGGGCGCTCCCCTGAGGCCTTGGCTGCCTGGGGATCTGTCAAGCTGTTTGTCCCGGAGGGCAGACTCACCGCCCTGAGGGGTTGGGGTTTCTGCAGCTGCCTCTGCAGGAACCCCTCCCTCCAAACAACCCACCCCCTCCTCACCCTCCTCTGCACCCCTGGGTGAGCCCTTCCAGATCGCAGACAGCGGAGCAGAGGGGCCACACCCTGGGGAGAGGTTCTGGGGGGAAAATCACCCGGTAGAAGGGACCTCGTGACAAGGGATGGGCGTCCGGGAAGTGTAGGGCTCTGCGGACCTGCGGGCAAGGAGTCCCGGTGGAGCTTTGCAGAGGGGTTCCTCTGGACAAAGGACAGAATCGTGTCCGAAGGGAGGATGAAGCCCCACCCCCAGGCCTCTGGCTTCCTCCTGCAGTTTCCGGGCAAAGGGGATGCAGGTCAAGGAGAGAGGTGGGTGTCCCTGAGACCTGGAGACTGAATGTGCCCGTGGGTGCCGGTGTTCGCACAAGTCTGAGAACCACCACGAAGGGGCGAGCGAGGGCGGGATGCAGCTCGACAGTGAGTGCTTGCCTTTCGGGCCCAGGTCCTGGGTTCCAGCCCCAGCGCCACACACAGACAGAAAGGAACAGGGAACAATACCGCTGGGCCTGGTGGCGCATGCCTGTCATCTCAGCACTCAGGAGGCTGAGGCAGGTGGATTGCTGCATGTTCGAGGCTACGTAGTGAGACCCTGTCTCAAAAAAATGAAAACAAGCCAAAAGCAAGACAAAACCAGCCACAGGGTTAAATAAGTCACGAGGAAGGGAGCCCGTGGGGAAGGGGCGGAGGGCAGAGCTGTGAGGCTGAGCTGTGCCAGCCTGCAGGGCTTCCTGGAGGGGAGGCACTGAGCTGAGAACGCACAGGTGAGGGCAGAGTGTGTGGCGCCTGGCCCGGGTCCCGTGTACAGCGGGCAGTGGTCACGAATATGAACTGCTCGTAAACTGCACACCTGACCCGGCTCCTGTGTCCTCGTCCTCATGGGCCGGCATGGGCTAGGGTCCCAGGCACACGCTCCAGAACCGCAGCCAAGGCCGACCACGCAGCTTCCGACCGCAACAGACATGGCCCCAGAGATGGGCCCCAGGCGCAGAGGACACGCAGCATGGGCTTTGTGGACAGGAAACGCCTAGGATAGGTGAATCCAGCGGCAGGACGTGGCCTTGGGGTGCTGGGGCCCGGGAGAGGACCGGGGACAGCTCATGGAGCCAGCCTTTCTTTTGTGGCGGTGTGAAGTTCTGAAATTAGGATGATTCCACAGCACTTTGAATGCTGCTGACCTGCATGCTTTAAAATGATTCACTTCATGGTATATGGATTATATCTATCTATAATATAATGAGATATTAAATATGCATTGCATATATTTATGTGAACAGTTCTAATTTGTTTTCTTGGCAATTTTTTTTTTTTGTATCAGGAATCGAACTCAGGACCTTGCGCTTGCCAGGCAGGCCCTTGTGCCCCTGAGCTATATCCCCAGCCCTTCTTGAGGATTTTTTGAGACAGATCCTCGCTGTGCAGTTCAGGATGCCTCAAACGCACTATGCAGGCTCACAGAGATCCCCCTGCCTTACAGGGCTGCACCGATTTGTCCAGCTTTCCTCACCCGCCCTCGTGCACGCGATTCTGTCTGCACTTGCTGTCACACATGTGAACACGGCGTATCGGCGGCCACCTGTGCTCGACACGGTGGAGGGTGCGTGTCTCTTTGACACATGTGGGACATGAGCCCAGAGAGCCTGGGAGATTCCCTTCACCCAAGGGACATGGGTGAAGCTGGAAGGACGTGGGTGGGTGGCTGTGAGTGTGTGACGGTGTGAAGAGACATTCTGTGCATGCCTCTGGGTTTGCACATGTGACTGTGCACGCCCGTCATGTGTGCATGCATTTCACACCTGCTGCCCACAGCCCGAAGCTGACATCGCCCAGTGTGTCAGCCTCCTTGTCCAAAGAACACACACACGTCCTGACACCCTGTCCCGAGGGCGGGACTGAACCTTGGTGACTTGTGGCAACTTCTTGCTGGCCTAGTGTGAACTTGACAGAAGGTGCAGCCTCCTGTCCACACTCTGGGGCTTCCCCCGGGGCTGACCAGCCACCAGGGACGAGTTAAGACCCTGGCCAAACTGGGCATGGTGGCGCACGCCTGTAATCCCAGCACTTGGGAGGCTGAGGCAGGAGGATCACTGCAAATTCAAGGCCAGCCTGGGCTACAAAGTGAGCCAAGGCCAGCCTGAACTGCATAGCGAGACCCAGTCTCAAAAAGATTTTTTAAAAAGTGGGGGGCTGGGATTTAGCTCAGTGGCACAGCGCCTGCCTGGCAAGCGCGAGGTCGTGAGTTCCATTCCTGTTATGGGGCAGGGGAGATCCTGGCCAGGTTCCGGCTCCTCTGCTAGGTAATCCTAGCATCAGGGAGGCTGAGGCAGGAGCATCATCATGAGCTCAAGGCCAGTCTGGACTACATAGTGAGACCCTGTCTCAAAAACAAAACTAAATAAAAAGAATAAGCAAAACATCAGACAGAATCAGGAAGTGTCTCGGCTGGATCCTGAGCCACAAGGAACAGTCAGCAGTGCTGACTGTCTTATTTATAATTTTGAAATTTTGTTCACCCTGGATGTTTTTCCACATTCATTTGAATTTTTAAAATGCTGCCTGAGAACATTCTTTATCTTGCCCACTGAATTTTTAAAACTTTATTTATTTTGCAATGCAAGAGATTGAACCCAGGGCTTTTGCCCTGAGCTCCATCCACAGCCCCTCTTCATATTGAGACAGGGTCTTGTTAACTTGATAAATTGCCCAGGCTGAGTTCTAACTTGAGATCCTCCTGCCTCAGCCTCCCACAGTGCTGGGATGATGGACAGGTGCCACCACATCCGGTTTGCATACTGAATTTTTAATTTTGCACAGAAGTTCTTCCAGCCCCGCCAATTCACAGGGTGGCTGTGACAGGGTTGAAGGTTATCCTGGAAATTCATGAACGCTAATAAGGCTGCCGGTAGTGTTGGTGTAATTACAGCTGATCGTATTTAGACTTTCTGTGTTGAGCATATTAATCAGAGAGTTGCACTCAATGAGGAAAGGAATGTAGATTTCCGAACAATCCATGGGGTATATTGTGTATTATCCCCATTTTTCAGACGGGGAAACTGAGGCAGGAGAGGTTACAGTCCTGGTTGGGGGTCCCACAGCTGGGGCTCCACCCACCCCATTTGTCCTTGGGACCCTGGTCCAACAAGCAGCGTGCACAGAGGCCAGGGTGGTAGGTCAGAGGTCATGTAGCCTTGGGGACAGCCAGGGTCTGGAAGGGGACAGACAGGCTGTCCCACACCTAGGACAGATGGGGCCCTCCCCTGGTCCCTCTCACAGAGCCCCTGGCCTGGGGCACTCAGGTGTCCCTTCCCCCAGTCCCTCAGGAAGCCCACCATCTCCCCGCAGGGCCATCTCTGACTCCTCCCTGCAACCCATAGGAGACCCCCCCCCCGAGCCCCTCCCCGTTCCTCTCCTCGCCCTTACCCCTTTGGCGCCTATATAATCGCCCCTGTTCTTCCCTGCCCCCCGCTGCTTGGCACCCCCTCTCCTAGGGCCCTAACCCAATCTCCCCCTCCTCCAACCCCGTGCTGGAACCCCTAAATTCTCCAGGCTGCCTTCTAGCTCCTCTATGACCTGCACGCCCCCTCCAACCCCCTGAACCCCAAGGACTCCAACCAAGTCACCCCATCCTCTAACCCCTGGGTTTTCCCCGCCCACTCGGGGGGCTCCTTCCCCTTTTGGGGCCTTCTCCCCGCTACCCCAGGAGGGATCCCTGCACCTCCCCCCCGGGGCTTCCCCTTCCCCCCCGGGGCTCCCCCAGCCCCGTGACTCCCACGCCCCGGGGGTTTCCTCCGTGCCCACGCGGGCTCGGTGGAAAGGTTGCGGCCTGCCGGGGGACCCGCCCCGCCCCTATACTTCTGATTCCCAGACCTGGAGCCGAGTGAACCGCAGGACGCTCGCCCACCCTGCAGGCTCGGGGCGGGGAAACTGAGGCCAGGCGGACGCTGGGTGCCCCGGGCGGGGCGGCGCCACTCCTGTAATTTCTGGAGAATTAGGAGGCGACTGAGTTTCGGTTTAGCAGCAAAATGCAGCCGGTGCCAAGCCCGGCGGGGCTGGGAGGCCGCTTCCTGGGGTATTTTCCTGCTTGTTGATTTTAGTTCGGGGAGAGAGAAAAACTTTCTTTGATGCAATTAAGAGGAAAGGGGCTGGTGGGCGGGATGCGTGGGTGGGAAGGGGGGGGCTCCTGCAGCCAACGAGCAGAGGCCCCCAAAGGCGCTCCTCCGCGAGGCCTGGGACCTCCAACGTGGACCCAGGTGCTCCCCCCGTGGGTTACGGTGGAGGCCTGGGGTCAGGGGCTGCGCCAGCAGTGTCACCGAGCAGGGGAGGGCGCCAGTGTGGGTGCCAGAGCTCGGGGCTGGCTCCAGAGCAATAGGTAACAGCATGGCACAGCGACCAGGTTTCGTAATAAACCCGTCTCTTAATTGCTACAGGGCAGGAGGAGGAGAAAGGAAAAAAAAAAAAAAAATTTGTGGAGTTGGGCGGTGGCGCCCGCCGCCAGGGAAGGTGTCGCTGCAGAGGCGCCCGTGCTGCTAATGGGGACTTAAGTGACACTTCCTGGTGAGCTGGGGGGGGGGGGGCACCGCGCCAAAAGCACACCAGGACCCGAAGGCTTTAGAAATTTATTACAAGGCCAGCACAGTAGAAATAAAAATAAGTCTGTACAGTTCCCGGCCCTTTCAGTGGTTCCCGAGTAACAAGAAGTGCAAAGTAACAAAATAGATCGTCTGTGATTTACAAGCCGGGAGCTCGTGGGTCCAGAGCGACGACCACGTCGCCCAGCCCCCGGCCGCTGGTCCCGCCGAGGCTCCCCCGGCCTGCGCCGCGCCTGCCGACGTCCCGGTCTCCCGCCGGCT